TCCAGAATAAAGATATTATGATTGATTGATTGAGTGAACGCATGTGCGTCGGTGGCACAGTGGTTAGGACGCTCGCCGACCACGCACATGGTCCGGGGTTCGATCCCCTGCCGATGCACACCCGATATCTATGATCGGCCTGGAAAATTTGGGCTACCGATATCACATGCTGAAAATTCCATACCTGTACCAAAAAAATACGGTGCGGAATAAAGCTGTAATCAAAAATCAAAAAATGAACTCACTTCAAATTCTGCCATAGCCTTCTCCATAGATTTTATATCACAAATAAACCTTAAAAGTGATTGAACTGATGGATGCAGTTTTGATGGAATTTCACTAACACTTTGAATTTCTTTAATATCTGATGACTATAAGAAATTAACACACAATAATAATAATAATAATAATAATAATAATAATAATAATAATAATAGTGATAATAATAATAATAATAATAATAATGTGAATAGAAATATAATTAAAATATTTAAAAGACAAATTTCGCAAGATGAAACCGTCATTTCGTAGTTTCTTTACAACCGCTTTACAACTAACATGGTTAACAATAAGAAAATAAAGGGCATGACAACGACTCAGTTATATTAAAAAACAAAAGTACATACTGATGACCAATCATCACATTTAAATAGGTCAAGTAGTCAGTTCATGGTAGGCGAAGGTTGAAGTCTATTGTTTTTTTAACATATAGTTTAGCCTGTGTGTGATTAATCCCCAAATTGCTTCCATCACCTTCAATAACCAACCTTGAATTAGAGTTATGTGATGAAATAATTGTGAAACAGTCATTAATTAATATTGGATTTCGTGACCTGACATTAATAAGTGCTTTGCAATGGATGATGATGCTGGATTTCTATTCAGATTAATAATTGCATTGGGATTTTTTATTTGTTTCGATAACCCTTTTGGAACATGTTCTTTTCGACGACCACATTGGAACATTCTGTTGGTTCTACCTATACATGTGTGTGTGTCACCACAACTGCAGGTGAACTTGCTGATACAGTTTGAAGTAGAGTCCACAGAATTTCGTCCTTTAATCGTAGGTACATGGATCGAAAATGTTCTAGATGTGAGGGTAAGAGATGCGGCGTAGAATGCGCGTTTGATATGATTGGTCATCAGTATGTACTTTTGTTTTTTAATATAACTGAGTAATTGTCATGAACTTTATTTTATTATTATTGTGAACCATGTTAGTTGTATAAAGCGGTTGTAAAGCAACTACGAAATGAAGATATCATCTCTCGAAATTTGTCTTATAAATGAATTATTCAAATTTATCAAAGGTACTAATTGTTTTAATAATTAAAATAATAAATAAATAAGCAAATAAATTATTTAATGAATTTGAAAATTACGTTTATGTTCTCGACAAAAAGCATGACATTAGTTACAACTAGGTAGAGCCTTCAGTAAAGACCTGATACGACCGAGAGTGGATAGATTCTGATCTTCCTCTCTCTCTCATGTGGCTATGCGTTCACACAGTCACTGCCAAGTGTAATTCCTATACATTGCCCCCTCACGCAGTGGCAAGTGTGTTGCTCACAAAAGTGAAAGAAGGGTGACTGACTGCAAACGTCTGGTATTTACACCCGGACTGATGGGCACCCCACAGGTCCATATACAAGGGTTACAAAAAAAACCCTGATTTCAGACTTTTGGACTCCAGAATTCGAAAGGATCAAATGGTGTATGGATGTGTTTTGGTGGTGAGAAACCATGAGAATGCAATTCCTAACACTGCTTTTCTGCCTTGTGGACCGAGCTCCAAATCGAAACCTCGGAGGAGGGATGATCCCTTAAGACAACTACCTGCTTCGGCCAATGCTTCCAGGCAGTATCTCAACCCTCTTGGTGTCAACAACGTACAAAGTTTGTGTTTTAATAAGGATAAAAATATCCAGTGAAAGTGGAGGGAAACACAACAAACAATACAATGAAACAAGCGAGTATTTATATGTGAGTGGAGGGTAAGACAGAGATAAGGAGAATTAGATAAAATGCGAAGTTTAATGACTGATAGATCCATATTTGCATTGTTTTCATCAATATTGACCTCAGAGTCATTGAGAGTTCACAATCTGCTGATATTTAATATCATACGATGGAAATGTGGCTTGCAGGATAAAGTTAGGAAGTCCATATCTCGAACGCCGTTGGAGTAACTGGATGGTATCATCAGTGACCACATAAGGAATGTCACTCATAGCCTCCCTAGTGTATGAAAAAGTTTTGATTATACGCTGGTTGAGTACTTGGTGTAATGGTATTTGGCCCTTTGTTTGGTGCAGATTGAATCCCATCAGTCAAGTTTGCAATGTGACCCCCATAATACTAAGCGGTTCACCATCATGGCCCACTTTGAATTGTTGATATTGGATGGTTGAAGGCCGTCAGAAGGAAGCCCCGATTGACTCACTTTGGTTTCGTGCTACTTGGCACTCACCAATCAGCAAGACGTATCTGAAACCTTGAAGCGACTTATGTCCCTTCTGAGATTCGAAACCGCGTCACCCAGTGCTGAAGTCACAGACATTACCAGTGAGTTTTCTGGGTTCGCCACTGACCTCCTGTAGGGCTGTATTGAATACAGAAGAGATGTAAGTTCCTTCAAGGTTGCAGATACATCTTGCTGACTGATGAGTGCCAACTAGCACAGAACCTAGGTGGAAGGCAAAATGCTAATTGCCTCCAGCCATCTAGTATCAACAATTCAAAGTGGACCTTGATGGTCAGCCACCTAGTGGTATGGTGGTTCGGGGTTCGAGCCCCGGCCACCGACACACTCCTTCACCTTATTAAGCCAGTAATAATACTGGTAAAGAGGGAAGATTGAACATGAAGCTAGCAACCCCATCCAGTAAAAATAAACACCATTGCTACCAAAACTTCAAGCCTCTAGCTTGAAGGTGCCTTATGTTCCACTGGTAACGTAAATGAATAAACAAAAATGCTATATAGATGATGGGTCTTTATTAGGCTTTCGACTAATCTCACAATGTGGATTTTGTCACCAACCTACATCAGGTTAGGGAGGTCACTGAAAGGCAAGGAGCACTGCATAGTTGTTTCGTCCTCCTTGTGTAGAGAAACTTTTCATCAGTGAATACCCACGACTTATCCCACCCACGAGGGATCAATGCCATAACCTTTTCATTGAAAGTAAACTAGATCCCCACAATTAACGCATAACTTAAATACCAATCGCCAGCTACTTATTGACGATGGTTACTGCATGATGTCTTGAAGTTATACTAGGAGGTCATGACCAATGGGGTCGTCGCCCGATGTCACAACGAAATAGATGCTCATCGAAGGTATTTATCGAGAGTAGCCCTATATTACAGAATTGGCAAAGTCAGAATTCAGGGGTCCATTAAATTCCAGCCCAAATGGTTGAATGGTCATCATCGAATTTGGCTTCATAACAACCCCAGGGTCCAAGGTTCGACTCCTGGTTGGCTTCTTGGGTGGGTACTGACGAGTTCTAAACCAGTGCGAAACAGCTGACCGATATCCACTGGTTTTCAATCACCTCTAGCTGATGTTGATTCGTGACGAAGTATACGGTGAAGTTATTGCGATTCTCCTCTATTGTACTTACGCAGATTTCGGGGCACGAGTTCCCAGTTCCTAGTAATATAAGTGCGGCAACTACTTTGCAGGTTAAACAGAAAACAGAACACTACACAAATCATCCGATTAGTGATTGGAACTTTCTTCCTTGTCGTACTAAACAATTAATAAAGTGGTTAGACGAGGTCAAACTATAAGGACACTAACGCCAATCGAACGACTGTACCAATGACATTTAAACGAATGATTGCGTAACAAGAATGATAAGTTGAATTAAGTACTAAGGTTGAATTCTGCTCATGATTTAGAGTGAAGATTTCATTCAGAAAAGATTCTTCAACCCTCATATTCCTAACCCCGAGGAGTGTGTACTGATTATATATCTTCGCCTTTCGAGAAATCCTGGAACACAGGTATACCTTACCAATGTCTAACACTTATTGGCGTTTTACATTCTACTCCATCGATCGAGATATTATATATATATATATGTCTGATTTCCCACAAACTGGAAGATATGCAAGAGAAAAGCAACAAGTTGGCATAAGAAGCATCAAAGATAGGAGGGAATTCAGGTGAACATAGAGAAGACAGAGGGGATGAAGATTCCTGGCCAACACCACCAACAGCAACAGCAACAACAGACAACGATCAGCATAAATGGGAGGAACCTGAAAGAAACAACCTCTTTTACCTACCTTGGAAGCATCGTTTCAACTACAGGAGAACGAAACTGACGAGGATATCAAAGCAAGAATCGGGAAAGCAAGACAAGGTTTCACTACTCTCAAGTCTGTGTGGAGGTCAACAGCACTCAGCATCAAAAATAAGATCCAGATTCTCAACTCCAATGTGAAGTCAGTCAGTGCTACTATACGGATCAGAGACTTGGCCAGCGCGTCATAAAGAGCATCTCAAACAAACTACAGACCTTATTAGCAGTTGTCTTCGCTCAAGACTCAAGATCAGATGGCCAGAAAAGATCAGCAATAGAGATCTCTGGCAATGAACGAACCAACCCAGCAGGAACCGATTGTGAAACAAATAGGCAGGAAGAAATGGAGATGGATTGGCTGGCCATACTCTGAGGAAACCATCAAGTCAGTGACATCACTAGACAAGCCATTGCTCGAGTGGAACCCGGCCGAACGGGAAGCGGCGAGTTGGTCGTCAGTGCAAGGGTGACTTGGAGGATGAGGTCATGTGAAGAGGAGATGAAAACGTGTGGGCCAACTTGGAGCCAGGTGAAGACTCTAGCAGAGAACCGAACGCAATGGAAACGCACGGCTGAAGCCCTATGTTCCTCTAAGAATTAAAGGAAACCATTATAATATATAGGAAATTGGATCAACCCTAATGATTTGATTGATAACGAAATAATCTCAGGAAGCATTCAGAGGTTTCGCGTGTGGCGCGTTTACGCCTTCTTTGATGACATACATTTGAATTATACCTCCTGTGTCAAGTGAAATATAATGTAGTGAATAACGTTGAGGTTAGGTGAGCGCAAAAGGGAATTCAATAAATGAAGTTACCAAACTATATTGATTAAGACAGCTAGGAGATGAGTTGTATATGGTTAAGCCACCGCCTTCCTCAACAGATAAGCAAGCAATGTTAGCTGGCATAAGAGAGGTAGGTAGTCAATTCAAAATTTGGCACTAATCCATGAAATATTTGACAGTTCGTTTGAGACAGTCACGTAGGGAGGTGTAAACTACCTGGTTATGGGATCCACGGGGTGCTAAGGAACTAATGGCTGGAAAGACCTAATGGTGATATGTCTCAAAATTGTTCTCAAATGGTACAGTCAATCAGACACCGTGATTCAACTTGGTGAATGTAGGTGATTTGCTTAAGAATAACTTCACAATACTTCCCAGTTATATATTCACTAATCAAAATCTCCACTAGCCTGTCTCTGTCTAATTATCCTTTCATCATACCCACCCCCCATCTACTTTTGTATACCTACTTTGAAGTCTGGAACAACTGGAACTGATACACACCCTCTTGTACAATGTGTTCTACACTACGTTCACAATAAGTCACAATCATTAATTGGGAAGGGGTGTGGCGGACGGGGGACTATCAAAGCAGACAACACAAGGCAAATATAAACAAATAACTCAAAACTCACAGAATTATTATAATCTAATTCTAATTCATAAAATTTATACGGCATCTTTTTGAAATTTTCACGTTCATCCCAATGATTACCAGTTTTTTCAAGGTAAAGCTCTCTGAATGATGCACGTGCTGATGTAGCATTCGGAAAGGACTCGGTTTTTGTCCCACCAATTGGTGTGCCTATACGACCCCATGCACGAAACACCCAACAGCGTTGGGATTTATCCGCTTGCAGGGCTTGAAGTCTAAAAAGGCAAACACACACACACATAATAATAATAATAATCTACTATACGAGATATACCATGCCAAGTTTTCATCTCTCGAGCCTAAAATTGTAGTGTGATATAGAAATGAGGACTATCTGAGGTGATCCACGGGGCGCTAAGCGGATTATTGAGAATAAGGTGTTAGTGAAGAAGATAGAAGCTGCTTACAGCTCAAAATGTGCTTAGCAGTAAGACTCCTTAGCTCTATCGGTACACCTTCAGACCATTGGGTGGTTGGAAGCAATCGGAAGGAAGCCTAATCCGACTTAGATTTCGTGCTTGTTGTTGGCACTCACTCACCAGTCAGCAAGACGTATCTGCACAATTCAAGGGACTCATGTCTCTTGCAAGATTCGAAATCGCCTCACTCAGCCAGTGCTTCAGCCAGAGACTTTACCACTGAGCTATACGCGGTCTGGCGATTGACCTCCCTTGACTAGTTACTAACTAGTGTCCAATCAACGACATTAAGACAGTCAACTTAAAACCCATATGGTATGAATCATCATACTAAGACTGAAATTCTCACTTCAGATTTTAATCATTACCCCCTTGGAGCTGTAAGCTCATTGTCTGAAGCACTCAATTTTCAGGCAGTAGCAGGTAACAGGTTCGAGTCCTCCTCCAATCACTTCAACCTGGTCAACTGGAAAACATTATCAGCTATTATATGAATAAGTTTGACTCTTAGCTTGGTACATATGAATCGCCTGACCTGACGTTATTATTTATCTTTATTTTATTTAGACAAAGCAATAAGAAGACGTAATTTGTCTGAATCCTGTATGGTGTATTTGCGCGCACAACACATTTCGAACAACCTGATCACACTCCACGGACTTGTCATAGGAATGTATATATATGAAATTAATAATTCAGAGCATATTCATAAATGGCTCCAGAAACAAATGGAATCTTCAGAACCCATTAATGGTGCGAACAGAAGACCTAGCTCCTCTATTGCGAAAGATATTATAGAGACAGGACATAAAATTGACGTTAATAGACCTTTTAAACCAATCTATAAAACGTGTTTGGGAGAGAGTGTATCCTAAAGTTTGTGGAAGCCCTAGCTGGCAATTAGAAAGTTTAAACCACCTTTATGCCTTTAAAAAACAATTCGTCATCGCATACCATAGCAGATGTACTATTACCTCTGCTATTTGGTTTAGTGATCTTCATTGTTATTTTGACCTTCAATATGTCCTTTCAACTTGACCTAAGTCTATTTTCTCACCTCTTACATCTTTATTAATTTCATATATATTCCTATGACAAGTCCGTGGAGTGTGATCAGATTATTCGAAATGTGTTGTGCGCGCCAATACATTACACGATTCAGAAAAATTACGTCTTCTTATTGCTTTATCTAAATTCATAAAGGGAGCTAATTGTTTTAAACTTTATTTTATTCCTTTATGTTCCAAGTAGAAGATAGAGCTTCAAGCTGGAACTTTGAAGTTTCGATAGCAGTGGGTTTTTTTTTCATTTTTACGAGGTGGGGTTGCTAGTCTCACGCCTAACCTTACCTCTTTACCGAGCTTACCACCAGGTTAACGAGGTTTAGGAGCACTCCAGACGGGGATTGAACCCCGGACCACACGTACGTGATTGGCAGCGAGCATTCCTATCACCGAACGACAGACACGCCTGATCCACCACTGTTAGGTTAGGTTAGGTTTTTCGCCTATCAAAAACAACAACAACAATAAAATTGACTTACTTATAAAATGAATTTGATCCTTTGACTAAATCAACCATCCCGAGAACTGCTGTCATGAATTTCCCACTTTCATCTTTCAACACCGAGGCTTTATGCTCTAACTCTGATTGTGGATCAACAACTGCACCATTTTTAAGTTTCAGTCGCATCATTTCTTGATCATCAAATTCTAAATCAGCTAGTCGCTTCTCCCATCTGTCCGCTGGGGAGAGAGAGAAGGAGAGAAAGGAAAGAAAGAGGGGGGGGGTTGAATACTGCTCATATATATACAAGTGTGATTCGTTTGATAAATTTTGATAACCTTCAAGTATGATCATGACTTGGTTTCAGTTGAAGAACCAGGGATTAGTGGACAGTTGCTTCGCCCCTGTTTGGGACTCTTCAACGGTACACAACCTTGACCCCGATGATCTTCAGGTTACACAGGGAGAGACTGCTGACCCCTCAAACAGTGAGATAGGACCCAATGATCAATCAGTTATAACTTTTGTGTACTGCTGAAAACAGTTCCGAAATAGGACGAAACTGCGTACTGTCCAGTTACACCCCAGATTTGAACGGTTCAACTGTTAACTGGAGTTAGTTCGTGATCACATTTCAAGCAAATCAAATCCCTGCAAACCAACACTTAAAAATTTTGATAAAACAAGATGAAGTTAAATTTCTGGTAAAAAATAAACGATACCTTCCTCATCCAACAGGATCGTATCGCGGTTAGTTGTACAAACCCCTTAAAAATACAATGATTGTATTCATGATGAAGTTAACATTCTTTAAATGTTGATACCCCGTGGGTTGTCATTTATAATCAAACAGCTTTGAAACTTGAGTTTTATAGTTTTCTTTGTTCTCTCCTATTTGTCGTCTTAGGAGTAGTAGAATATTCCAGATGTCCGCATGGACAGGTGTTGAATCATTCCTATTACGCGTATTTGCAGTTGATTCGATGAATAAAGCTTCCGTTATCAATCTCTCCCTCCACCATGCTGTTACATTAGATTTTAAAACTGTCATCTTATCCCAGCTCATCCTATTGTATGGTTGTAAGTGCATGTAGTACTATAGTTGAATTAACCAAAATCACCATACCATCAGTAGTACTTCCATACAAAGAAGCAAGCTCGGAAACCTCACGCAGAATTCTTAACAAGGCGGGCATAAAAGTGGCTGATATTCAAACCCAGAAACTTAATTAGAAACAAGCTTTATCGTTTAAAGGACCAATCCTGTGGAGCCAGTTAAACAAAACAATTTATTTTGTCTAGCACCCTGTTGGAATACGTACGTCAAACTAGTAGAACAGGTGCAGCCAGACTAGCGGAGCACAAAAACCTAACTATAAAATCTAGATTAGTTGACCCGATTAAGATAAGAAATCTAGAGAACAGTTCAGCTATAGTACTCACTACACGCAATTACACACAGCCATACAATAAGATGATGGGATAAGATGACAGTTTTAAAATCTAATGTCACAGGATGAATGGAGGGAGAGATTGATAACTGACTGAAGCTTTATTTATCGAATCAACTGCAAACACATGTAGTAGGAATGATTCATCACCTGTCCACCCGAACGTCTGGAAGAATCTACTACCCGTACGACAAATAGGACAGAATAAAGCGAACTATAAAACTCAAGTTTCGAAGTTATGTAGTTACAATCGATGATATGATTATGAACAATAAGAAATTGTGTTCGAAACTGTGTCATCCAGTAAATAATACTGCTACACTTACTGTGTGATATATCTAATAAACAAACTAATGTGGAATTACATACTACCACAGTGTCCACGTTTTACACATATCTTTCGGCCTGTAATCTACTAATTTTGTCAAATAACAAATTATTTCCTTAACTATTATAGACATATAATTGGTGGATGGTGACTAGCAGTGGAATCCAGGATTCGCGTTTCGTCCTACTCGGGATTCGTCAGCTGGATTTTTAAAAAAATTTTATTTTTGACTACAGCTTGATGCCACACCGTATTTTCAGTATAAGTATGGAATTTTCAGCATGGATATCGGTAGCCCAAGTTTTTCAGGCCGACCATAGATATCGGCTGTGCGTCGGTAGGGGATCGAACCTCGGACCATGTGCATGGTCGGCGAGAGTCCTAACCACTGTGCCACCGACGCAATCCCACGTCACACCATCCACCAATTACACACTAATTACGTGCCCAGACATCGTCGAAGCATCTGCACAAGAAGCCGACATACACGTCAACCTGAGACCAAGCACTTCGGTCCAATCAATCGACGGCAAAATCTAAAAGTCAATTAAATATTATAGACATAATATAAATAGACATATTCATGGGCCATAAGACTGGGTCCCAGTCCCAGTGGCTGATGAATGGTCGACGAGCTCGCTAGCCTTGTAACTAGAATATCCTGGATTCGAACCCCGCGGTACGGGTGCGTACAGATGAAGAGTCCCAAACTAGGACGGAGGAAACAGCTATCCATTAGTACTCCCTGACTGGTTTTCCAATGGTTCTCTAACTGATGTCAGCTCATGATGAAGTCATTCGACCAACCAACCAAACAAACAAAATCCCTACAAAACCAATACTTGAAAATAGACATATTAATTGTGGGACCTAGTGAAGAAATTATCGAAAAGAATATTCTTTGTAAACATACTACTGCTAATCAGTCTTGAAATTTCTTATAAGCACATTAATAAAATAAAAAACAACAACATCAGTTATAAAATACAAATAGTCATGCAGCATATAACTGTTAAATTACCTTTAGGCTCACGGATCTTTCAGTGTAATTCAATCCAAAGGAAATTATTATCATATAGTAGGTGCAAAGAATGAGAGAACAAACAACATATAGTTAGACGGTATGATGAACAGATATATATACAAGAGAAATAAAATATTTTACTTTAAGGCGAATAACGACTAAGGTTGCCATAATAATGTAGCCCCACGTCAGTGGTTTAGCGGTACAGAATGCCCATCAATCAATCACGCTCGTGGTCATAGGTCCGAATCCCTAATAACACAACACTCCTGAATCCAAACTGACCGGTGGCAAACCCGACAGAGAAGGAAGGTGGGTGGGCGTGAAAGTAGCAACCCCCTCTCCATCCCACCCGTAAAAACACAGAACGCCACCGCCACCGCTATCTAAACAGGAAGTCTTGTGTTCCGCTCGGAACGCAAAGTAAACGAAAAGAATATATATGTAAAACTGGTTCGCGGCGTCATTAAAAACATCTTCAGTACCCTCAGACTACCTACCTATTGACCAATTTAACCCAACTATGTGTGACCAAACGACCGTTTCACTCAACTTCCATCCAAATAACTGACAATTGTATGGTGACAACACTGCTAAATGAATCACGAGTTAAAAGGATTTAAAATTAATACGGCAGGGAATTTCAATCCAGCATCTGTATGGTCAACCAATGAGATTGCCTTGTAGCCTGAAGGTTCTAGGTTTCTCTAACCGTGGTGGGGATGTGTGTCGTGTACACTGTTGTTGAAGAGTACCAGACTAGGGTGAAACACCTGTTCAGTTCTCTTTCTCAGTCATCAATGATTCTCTGACTAGCAGATGCCAGTATGAGACGAAGTCAACACTATAATTAAATTTCATAACAACAACAAATATTGGTTCCCTTTTTTAACATTTTTGTAAATCAAGAACAGTAAACATTTTGTAGAATGACATTGAATACTGAAAAGAAGGCCACACTGATATCCTCAATCGATTAGTTGTGTTAGGAAAGTTTAATCGATAAGAAACTCAGTGAGTCATTGAAGCCTCAAGGATTACGATTTACCACGAATGTAGAGCCTTCTAAAAATATATACCAAACTGGGGGTGGGTGACATAATTGATATAATAACCCAGAAGTGGCTCCAAAAGTAAAAGTTACAAATTACGTAATACCCAACGACACAAAGGAAGAATCCATTAGAAATTTGATAAGGTCAAAATTGCCGTTGAGCGAGAAGAAAGGTGGTACTTGACTGTCCATTTAACAAATGTGAAGAGGGTGAGAAGAGGTGCAATAGGAACATGTGAGAGTGATAATAGTCAATTGATTATTAAAGAAAAAATCAAATTAATCATTAAAAATTAAAAATTTACAGAGAACGACTAATGAAGAGGTTAGAACCATAGTAGAATAACACGACTGGACAAACTCTTTCTGCACACAGAGGTTAAGGTTGTATTGACGAATCACCAACGCCTCCGTCATACACAAATATCGAAACTTGACACCTTTCGGGCCATTTGGCCTCACTTTGTAGATAATCTTGAAAGATGACTCTGGTGGAGCTGCGTGGCTTGAGTGCTCAAGAATTAAGCTAGTAATTGTCTTGCATTGTCCTTTTACTAACCATGCCAGATAATGTTCAGAGATGAGTTTGGAAAGTGTGCGCGGCCGCTTTGTGCGGCCAATATAACTAACTCCACAGTAGCAGATGAATTTATAAATATACGTTGAAGAGGTCAAAAGTGCCAGTTTATCCTTCACAAATCTATTGATCATTGGTTCGCTGTAGAAACTGATCCGTAGCTCAGCCGAAAAGAAGGCTTTCCTCAGTGATCTGCATAAGCGATTCTTCAGAATCTTACCTGCGGTATCACCTTGAAATTCAATGTTCATGAATAACAGTTTGGAAATCTGCTTCACTCAGCACAAACAACAAAATTCAAATTTCCGTCACTAATGTCAAGTCAGTCAGTTCTTCTATATGAGTCAGTAACTTGGTCAGAGCGTCGCGAAAATCATTTCGAACAGACTTAGCGGACTGCTCCATACCGAAGACCAGGTGAGCAGAAAGAATTAGCAATAAGAAACTCTGGGAACGAGCTAACAGATGAGAACCTATTGCTGGTGAGTGCCAACAACAAGCACAAAGAAACCTAGGGTTCTAGACTTCCTGCAGATTGCGCATCCTACCACCAATCATCTCTAACAACAACAAAAAACAACCACACAGAAACTATGCACACATGTACAAGAATAAAGTTAAAGAAAAACATTCATTTGGATAAAAAAAACACCACCATAGTACCTTGACTTTCCAATCAGAGATTGTATGTTTTTCCAGAAGTTGTTGAATTTTCCCATCAGATTTCCCACCTGAATTCAGTTCAGATAACAAGCCCTCATCGATAACACGTAAACCAGAAGCACGTGCTGTTGAAATTGTCCCCTTTGACGCACTGTCCACATTCTTTTCCGGTTTCAATTCAGCCAGTGTAGAGACAACAATTGTATTGGTGCTAAGCTATACACCACACAGTGTGAATAAGGGGAACAAAGGAATTTTTGTCATTACATGTCTCATTAGTAGACGACACATTGATGAGTTGACAAGCAAAATAGTAATTGATCAAAGCGAAAAGTGTGATTTATTATTCTCAGAACAATAACAGACCTTAATTTCACTAGTCTAGTGTAATTCTATGTGAGTGTAACTCAACAAATGCATACTACCCAGTTGCCCAGACTGAAGTCGATGGAGCGAGGGAGATTTGAGTTCGAGGCTCATTCGCTCTAAAAAAACACAAACACCAAGCCTTACGACAGTGCAAATACATTCATTTGACAACTCATGAATAGATTGAGACATGAATCCAGTGTGTGGAGCTGTAGCTTATCTCCTCAGTTACTTGGCCTTCATAGCTACCACGCACCAGGTCCGAATCCCGCCACACATCGGTTTATGAGACTGGGTAGTAAGTATCGTCAACTATCCCCATAAAATAAGTCTGGCTCATAGTATGGCGCACACGAAAGACTTCTTCCAAGTAACTGAGTTCAAACTCTCGACTCCACACTTAGGAAGGTTCGGGCAATCAGATGGTATCAATCAACCTCACATAATACGTGAGGCTCATTAAAAATTGCATCAAAATACAATGCTTATTACGTTTTTCTGAGATCAGTAAACTTCACATTTAAATTATCGCTGCTTCTCCTAGAACGTTACGCTTGATACTATTTATTACCAAAAACGGGGAAGTTAAACTTTACGCACCAGCAACTACCAATCAGCAAGTGACCTTGAACGCACCAATCACATTGAAACGGCTATTTTTAGGTAATACAATGCATATATTTATTAGTTACAGGATTTCATCATGAGCTGACATCGGTTAGAGAGCCACTGGAAATGAGATGCTCACTAGCGACTGGCCCTATTCAGCCAGGTAGTTAGTTTTAGTGGGAAGTCGCGACCAGTAGGGCCGAAGACATTGGCTAGCAGTCACGCTATGTCATGATTTGGCGGAAGCTGGGATTCATGGGCCTTTGGATCGGGTCCCCCAATGGCTAAATGGTCTACGAGCTAGTTCGCCTTGTAACCAGAAGGTCCTGGGTTCGAACTCCTGTGGTGGGTGCGTACCGCTAATGAGTCCCAAACTGGGTTGACGAAACAGCTGTCCTAGTACTCCCTGACTGGTTTTCCACTGGTTCTCTAACCGATGTCAGCTCATGATGAAATCCTGTAACCAATCAATCAAATCCCTACAAACCAATACTTTAACATATATTTATGATGTATGAAAAAGGCATAAAAATGTTACACAAGATGCCTTCCTCCAGGACATCACAAAAATAACTCCCAGTTTTCCGTAGGTTTATCAATAGAGAAGGTGAACCATTTTCTATACATGTATTCATCGAAATGGCTATAGACAACATCGTTTCGAGATTCGTTAATGGCTCTCACATCCTGTCCTCCAATTATCCCCTCCAACAGGATCCACAAAATCATAATAATAATTATTATTAAAACACCCACATTCATAGACGGCTAGTCTCTCTTCATACCACACTCTCAACAGCCATGTTTCACAGTCATTAAGAAGGATAGAGTAAACTGTTGGGCAGTTCATATGTTCCTTGACTGATAGCTGGATTTCACGTCTGCACCAAAATTGGTATAATTTAACAAATCTCACCTGAGTCTTTTCTATCTGTGATGAAGTGTCATAAGAGGTTACTACAACAACAACTCAAACAAGTTAAGTACACGGACACGCTAAAACCAGTTTATTCCTTATCCTCCAAACCTAGAAGTTGGTGCAGACAAGTCCCTTTGACATCCCTTTACATTTGATGAGGGTGAATAACAACAAGTCAAATATACTAAGATTTCTGTTCACGGTGTTCATAATACTTTGACAGATGAAGTGTAAGCTTGAATCTTTCCATCCACTTGCTGTTAAACACGTTGTCACAGCTTTAGACTAGCAATGCTGCTGAAGAGTCCCAAACTAGGACGAAACAGTTGCCCAGTACCGATTTCAACCTATGATGAAATCCTGTAACCAATCAATCAAATCCTTACAAACCAATACTTGAATATCAATGAGATTATCACTAGCGACTGGCTCGATTCAGGTTCTAGTAGGACTTCCTGGTCAGTAGGGTACAGTAGGTCGGGCGTGAGATTACATACTCGCCGAAGACATTGGCTAGCGGTCGCGTCATGTCGTGAATTGGCAGAAGTTAGAATTCATGGGCTAGCCATTGGATCGGGTCCCAGTGACTTAATAGTCTACGAACTCACTTTGTAACCGCAAAGTCTATGGTTCAAACCCCTTGGTGTGGGCACGTCCTGCTGAAGAGCCCCAAACTAGGACGAAACAGCTGATGATGAGATCCTGTAACCAATCAATGAATCAATCAAATCCCTACAAACCAAATACTTGAATAAATAAAATGCAAATAATAAACACAGTATACAAGTGAATCAAACACACACATACTTTCGTCATAATGGCTCCACCGAAATTAGTAAATTCACGCATTAACTGTTCCCTTGACTTGCCACTATCAAATGGTCCATTAGTGATATAGAAAAATAAACCAGTTAGTGGTCCTGTGATATCAGAGACCAGATCCGGTGGAAATAATCGTGTACGCTTGACATATTTGTACTTCTTTCTAGTATAAGTAAAACAAAGCAGACAAATAAAAAATATATTACAAGATTTTTAAAGACATAGGAATTCATAATTATTGCGTAACAGTTTGATTTCATATACCCATATATCAGTACCTCTCTCTAAGAACAACAGAAAACTCAGTGATGTCTTTGAAGTAAAGACAAAGTTGTCTTCTATTATTATTACCGATAATATTCCTGATTGTGGTGGATTGGAACATGCGGTCGACTTGTGGGGAACCAGAAGGTAGGAATACGTTGGAAGTGCTATAACTGAACCGCTAATTGTTATAACGGTAATGCACTCGACTGGTACGCTTATAAGTCTATAGGGTGAGCAATATTGAGGTTAAGCTTCGGTCGAGTGTTAGGTAGGTGGGAGGGGAAATCAATTGACGAGGTTGTGAAGCTACATCGACTGAGATGGTTAGGACATGTGTTACGAATGTATGTCTAGCCATCGCCTTCCTCGACAATGGGCAATTTTACCTGACATAGGGTCAGGCTGGAGAAGAGCTAGCTGTGGTCAAACCGAAACATGGATTCATCCGTCAATGAAATCCAAAACAGTTAGTTTCAGCCAGTCAAGTACGAAGGTGTAGACTTCCTGGTTGGGGTCTTCGGGACGGTAAAAACCAATGGCTGGAGACAATCAGTAATATGGCTCAAACTCATCGTTCTCAGTGGCAGGCGCAGATGCATCCACTCCTTGTGACTTATAATATCCAATGAAACTACATTAATCTTCGTTATCACTATTCTTTTTGTCTCATATCTCTGTTTATTGTCTCTATTTTGCATTTCTTTTTACTTTCTTCGCTTGTTTTGTGTGGTACATGAAGGGAGAGTGGCAACTCGAACTGGTGCATATCGGTGCAAAGTTCTATGTCGAAAGCAGACAGACAGACAGACAGACAATACGTCTATCCCCGCATTGTATCTTCCGATTCACTGAGCCAAGCAAATATCAGAATACAAAGGTTTGTCTGTGATTGTGAGGTACTATATATCTATTAGGAAACAACACCATATTTATACATTTTCTTTACTACAATAAAGTTGGCTCACAGCTATAGGAATGCATTGTTCATATTGGCTGGCAATAGCTATTCTGATTGGCTGGCGATCTGATGACAAAGACCAAGGTGAGACAAAAGATGATGAATCGATCACACAATAAATCACAATATGCGTGAGAAATGATGGATTCATATAATAACTCCATCAAAAGATTCGTGAGAAAGGATGATATACTATTTGATGTTGCTTCCTATCAGGAAGGTATGGACTTCGCAGATGATTTATGTCTCATGTCACAGAAACCCGAATACTTACCGGAAAAAAACAACAAGTTGGGAGAGGAAGGAGGCAGTGAAGTGAACATAGAGAGGACAGAAGCGGTGAAGATAAACCAACCAATAATAATAATAACGAGTACCAATCACCATTGACAGGAGAAATCTAAAACAAGTCCCCCCTCGTACTTATCTGGGGCAGTAGTCTTTCAACTACAAGCTGACACGACGAATGAGGATGTCAAAGCTAGGCAGCACAGGAAAAGGAAGACAAACCTTCATTAACCTGAAATCGGTGTGAAAAACTGCTGCACTCCAAATAAAGAATAACACATGGATTTTCAACACATATGTCAAATACTACTATATGGTTAAGAGACTCGGTGTGTTACTGAAACTACTTCCAACAGGCTACTTACTGGAGAATTTCACCAACAGCTGCCTTTGCCCTACATAATGAAGATCATAAGATATCTAGACAAAAGCAACAGGAACTCTGGCAACGAACGAACTAAGAACCTATTGTTCAAAAAAAAATATGCAGATGGATCAGGCAAATATACATAGAAGACCGGTGAGTAATATCACGCGACAGGCCTTCAAGTGGAACCTGACAACATAGAGGATGTCATGCGAAGAGGAAGAGGAGTAGATCGGAGCTTATGAACAATCGTGGAGTTAGGTAAAAAACAGTACAGCAGAGAACAAGGAGAAGTGGAGTTGTGCTGTTGAAAGTCTATGTTGCACATTCGGAACCCAAGGAAGCAGTACATAACCGTATGGTGAAACCCAGGGTACGCATACGCCAATTCAAGCCACCTCTGAGGCCATTACCACGTTAGCTTGGCTGTCAAACGTTAGGTTTATAACTCTTCGTTGCACTCAGTCTTGCTGTATGTCTGTCAAACCCAGCCTCTCCTAGCTGAGAATGTACGGTGACTCTGCGTACTCGATCATCACTGTCTCCGTAGAATTGCTTGTTTTCGATGGTATCATCGTGCGAGTAACTCTGAGATCCGGCGGCGTGTGTTTGGACATACTGAAGATCTTCATCTGGGAACACCGACTTCAGTGGCTTGGAGATGTGCTATGAATACCATCCCAGAGGCTTCTGTACTGCTGGTTGGCTGTCCGATAGCCCTAGGAATGAGGGGGAAAGCGAAGAGGTAATGCGTCTATGGCATGTTGTCCTGGGATGGAGGATATTTGGCGTTAGGTTAGCATCAGTTATGCTCCGAGAGATATTTCAAATCAGTCACTCGAAATAAAATAATTTTCATTTCTTTCATTCTGACTAGAATACGGGGTCTCACAAGCTTTGAAATTTCAGTGGCAGTGGTGTTGTGTTTTTGAACGACATGGGTTTGGTAGCGCGGCCTCACACATTTAGGAATGCATCAGTCGGCTATTTGTCAGTCTGTCTGGATTCAACATAGAACTTGGCACCAAAGTGCAGCACTTCCAGTTGCCACGTTCCAAATACCACACAAAGGTAGACAAGAAGGTGGATGAGTGAAGAGAATCAGTAGAGTTTTGACAAGTATAGGAGTGAAACAGAATGAGTAATGGTAGAAAGGAGTATGAAGGTTAAAGAGACTGAATACATCTGCGTAAGCCATTGACGACGATTTTGAGCCATGTCACCTATTGTCTCCAGCCATTGATTGATTCTTAGAGTCCCGAGGGCCCAAACCCGGAAGTCTGCATCTCCCTACTTGACTCAGTCTAACTGTCAAGGATTTCATGGATTGATGAGGCCATGTTCTTGTTTGGCCACCACTTACTCTTTTCCAACCTGCACCTATATCAGCTAGTAATGCCCGTCCGTCGGGGGGAGGCGATGGTTAACCATGCACAGCACGTCACCTAGCCATCTCAATCTATGTAACTTTATAGCCTCGTCAATTGATTTTCCCTCTTCGCCCAACACTCTACGCCTAACATCAACATTACTTACCTTATTATACCACCTAACGTGAGAAAGAGATTGTAGACATCTATGATCAAAAACAGTCAACCTTTTCATGTCTTCAACTCGTATTGGCCATGTTTCAGAACCATAGAGAAGGACGAAGCGAACTGTTGAGCAGTACACACGTCCCTTGGTTGATAGCCGGATGTCACGCCTACGCCAGAGAAAGCAGCTCAAGCTTTTTGGATCCGTGCTGAGATTTCGTCACCAATCAATCCGTTGGTGCTGCTGATACTACTTCCCAAATAGGTGAAGTGGTCAACATGTTCTATCACTTCACTCCCTATCACTAAGCTAGGAGTTGACGTAGTCCAGTCCTGTAGCAGCATCTTACATTTCACAGGGGCGAATTGCATGCCAAACATACGAAGATTGCTGCTCAAGGTGTTCAGAAGACTCTGCATTTTGTCAGCATCCTCCCCTAACAGGACTGTGTCATCTGCATATTCTAAGTCCATAAGACTATTCCCTGGTAACAAGCCGATTCCTAAGTCGTTAAGTTCAGTAGGCTATCGGACTTCAACGACTACTGCGTGACTGGAGCTACCGGCATTCCCAACACTGAACCCCACCACCCCAACGCAAGTTAAAACTTTTAAAAAGGTATTTCACAATTATGATAATATGACAAATAATACTTACAAAAATTCCACATCATGATACTCTTCAGGAATATTAAACTTTTTACGTTCAGGCGATCGGGTATGATAAAGACACTGGATCCAATCTGTAGCCATAGCACTACACTTATAATTTGCATTACTATAATGCAATGGGCCTTGTTTACAACTTGGACATGTCGGCAATGCACCAAATGTCATGGCATCGGCAACTGCATCGAGGAGACGAGATAATCCAGAGGGAACGAATTGTTTGTTGTATTCTAGTAAACCAATCAACGCCTCTTTGGATACTTCACTTTCAAGTTTATCTCTTAAACTCCACAGTAATTTATTCTGTTTACGTAATTCTTCCTGAAATTATAGAAATGAGAAATATTACTCAATTATAGTAAATGGAAATAAGTAATAATGGAAAGAGTAGTGCGTGGGAGGCGGGCGGGGGGCCTAGAAATGACACTTACAACACATAGGAGAGCAGACAAGCTGAAGAAACAATGATGACGGGGAGTGAGAAGTCTGTCTGTTTTTGACATAGAACTTTCCACAGATGTGCAGCAGTTCGAGTCGCCATACTTCACTCAGCACACAAAGCACGACAAGAATAGAGACAGTAAACAGGGATATGAGACAAAAGGAATAGTAATAACGAAGAGCAATATGGTGTCATTGGGTATTATAAGTCACAAGGTGTGGATGCATCTGCGCCTGCCATTCAGAACGATGAGTTTGAGCCATATTACTGATTGTCTCCAGCCATTGGTTTTTACCGTCCCGAGGAGCCCAACCAGTCAGTCACGTAGTCTATACCTCCCTACGTGACTGGCCGACTGAAACTAACTGTCGTAGACTTCATTGACTGACGGAGCCATGTCTTGGTTTGACCACAGCTAGCTCTTTTCCAGCCTGACCCTTTATCAGCTAACATTGACCGTCGAGGAAGGCGATCACTGGCTAGACATACATGCGTAATACATGTCCTAACCATCTCAGTCGATGCAACTTCACAGCCTCGTCGATTGATTTTCCCTCCTTACGTAGCACTCACTGGATGCCTGACCTCAATATTGCTCACCTTATTATACCACCACCTGACACGAGAGAAAACACACTCAACAACCACTTCACTTCCTATTTCTAAGCTAGGAGTCCTGTAGCATCATCTTACATTTGGCGGGAGCGAGTCGCATGCCACATATTCGTAGATTGCAGCTCAAGGTGTTCAGAAAACTCTGCTCTACTTTGTCAGCGTCTTCACCTAGAAGAACTATGCCATCTGCATATTCAAAGTCAATGAGACTATTATTCCCTGTTAGCAAGTCAATGCCTGAGTCGCTGAAGTCTCACTTAGAGTTAAGTACATCTCTGCTGAAATAGAATAGAAATGGGGATAGTGGGCATCCCTGACGGACACCACTTCAGATGACAACTCGCCGTAAGCCCTCACCTAGCTGCATGAGTTCGAGTAGAGTACCTTGGTGTGAGAAGTGAAATAACTAATAAACGACATCAACACATAAATCCATAGACGACTGACTGAGGTATGTGGAGTTGTGCCACATAAAAGATTTACTCTCTCCGGCGATATCATTCTCAAGCTGTACAATCACACAGATACAGTAAATTATCTTAGCAATAAAAGGAATATTTCCAAAGGTGTGTCATTACAGTTGAAAAAGTTTTCTAGATAACAAATGACGTGACGTAGAAAGCGTTAATCGGGTAGGAGTTAAAATTACCTATTTGGTGTTAAGGTAGATCAGGTCCATTGTAGATTTAATGACTGAACAAACTTCTTCTTTTGTATGAAGAGTTCAGAATTTAACATGTGATGAATTGCCATTGGCTTCTGCTCTGTTTGAAAAAAGGTTGATTCGTACTGCTCCCTCCTTAGCGAAATTCCCGCGTATTCTATTGATAACTTTGAAGTTCTTTTGTGGTTTAGCTTGGTGTGTGTCCCCCAGATTCGATCAGGTGTTCCAAACTTCTTCAAACCGGAGAAGCGATGACGATTCACATGTTAAACTCCTAACTAACTAACCTCTTATTTAATTGAATTTTAGATTTTCCCGTCGATTGATTCGACCGAAGTGCTCGGGTCTCAGGTTAACATGTCTGTCGGCTTCTTGTGCAGATGCATCGACGATGTCTGGGCATGTAATTGGAAGTTAATTGGTAGATGGTGACTAGCGGCAGTGGAATCCAGGATGCGCATTTCGTCTTATTTGGGATTCGTCAGCTGGAAAATCTAAAATTCAATTAAATAATTAATATGACCCGTTGCCCAAGAGGTGGCTCTCGTGACCCAGGTGGTCTAATGGATAACCTTGGTGGGAACATCATCACTCACTGGGGAATGCAGGTACATCCACTAGCTGACGAGTCCCAAATAGGACGAAATGCACGTTATCCTGGATTCCACTGCTAGTCACCATCCACCAATTAACTAACCTTTTGTTTTGTTATTTAAACGTAGTTGTTAACTTACACACTGACACACATACAACCCAAAAAACCATTTTCTCCCACCCCCGTCCTTTAATAATAATAATAATTTTTTGCTTTATTCCAAAAACAGTATTAATGATACAGCAAGGAATTTTCAGCATTCAGTACAGTATTGCATCTAATTTACTCAAAAACGACAACAACAAACAAAAAAAAGTAGATAAACGGAATAATTAATACATAATAATGATAACAAAAGGTTTTTGTAGGAGCTATGTAGCAATTACAGTAGAGGATAAGGAGAAAAATATAAAATTATAGTAATAATAGTAATAACAACTAAAATAAAAATAGCAAAGTTATGATTAAACGATAGAAAGGGAGACACCATAGAATTACAGAAAGATGAACAATGAAAGGGTCGATTCACTATGCTAATTACATAGTAACTTATATGTTTCACGTCTAACAGTGTCTTCATCACATAAAATACGGGCTAAGTACGGTATTGTAGAATTTTTGTACTTAGTGGTACGAGCATATAATTTCTTATATTGACTTCTCGTTCTACCTGATGAGATACAAGGGGATAATTGTGAATAAAGAGGGTGCAGAGGGTCTGACAGTACGGCCTTTGCCCAATTTTTACAGGAATTTACGTGTCTCTCGACTATGGTATTGGCGAGATCACGCAGTGGCAAACCACAAGCCCTACTCACAGCATTTAATACCCTTCGTAATACGGCATAGTCTTTTTTAAGAAGCCCAGGAAAGATTAATGGAGAACAATAAAGTAAAATGGGTAAAATACAGGAGTTTAAAAATCGCAGAACTAAAGGTTGGCTGATACCTTGTTGTCTTAACTTTTTAATGTAGAAGGTAAGACGAAACATTTTCTTAGAGACCAATAAAATGTGAGATGACCATGAAAGGTCCGAGGAAAGAACTAATCCAAGGTATTTAATGCTTGATTTGGTTTCAATTTCTGTACCATCTATGCTACAGGCATCATGGGAACTAACATGATCCCTCATCCAACTGAAGTTTAAAATCAATATGAATGGAACTTAATATGAATATGACTCATAAGAATTTATTCCGGTACATTCGTTGTCATTCATAATCATTTACTTTGTAATAATATTGGTGTTCAATTTAGTATTACAATTTTACATATTACCACATACACACAGTCACGATACAATACAAAAATGGTACATCAGAGGTACATAGCACAACGTTTAAACCGACGAATCTAATTAGAAATAAAATAAATCAACTGAAAGACCCTATAAAAATGATGGATGAAAACAATGTGATTTACAAAATATCTTGTGCCGAGTGTCCGACTAAATATGTGGGTCAAACGTCCAAATCACTGAAGATAAGAATGAATGAACATAAACGCCTGTCTGACTAAAGGTCAACCCCAACAGGAACACAAGCTTACTAGAATTTAGAAAAAAATTCACCTATAGCTGCACATGCATGGGACAAAAAGCACAATATCAATTGGGACACTGTTTGTGTATTCTAAAAACTAATATGAACAAATGGAAAGAGAGACTACTAATAACAGAATCTCTATATTTATTAAGGTCACACTGGATACATGTAACAAGGGTGACTCAACAGCACAACTGTCAACAACCTGGAATATTATAATTCTGAATACACAAAAATGAATGAACAAAATAGTGAACTGTGTATATGAGTACAAATCATAAATGTGTGAATTAAAAAACAAAACAATTCCAACAGTTGGTGTGTGATCACGGGCAGTAATTTTGCTCGAAATATTACCAAAACACAAAAAGAACTTATCATTGTGTGTAAACCATTGAAATATAATTGCACTTTATTTGATCTATTTCACAATGCTCAAACATTTTACTAATATTATTTATTTTTATTTTGATTATAGCTTGATTCCACACAGTACTTTTGGTACGAGTAAAGAATTTTCAGCATGTGATATCGGTAGCCCAAATTTTGCAGGCCGACCATTGATATCAGGTGTGCGTCGGTAGGAGATCGAACCACGGACCATGTGCATGGTCGGCGAGAGTCCTAACCACTGTGTCACCGACGCACAGATTATAATCTATTAACAGTCTAATTCCAAATAACTTTAGAAATTCTCATCTAAATGATTCGATGTTACTCTCTCTTTAAAAAAAAACAGTAATGTTGTCAATATCTAATTGACAAGTAAATGTGTGATCAGACTGTTCGAAATGTATAGTGCAAATACACCGCATTTTTCAGATAATCTCCGTCTTCTAATAACACTATCCAAATCATTCTTTAATTATTATGGATGGATATATAACTGTAGAACCTGATGAAGAGCATGTTAACGAAAAGAATATTATTTGATCATACGGAATGAAAAGACAGTTGCAGCGAAGAAAATTATCTTTTCGACGAAGTCATCATCTAGGCTGTACATTCGTGTATTTATATCAAATGGATGGGAATGTTCCAGAATAATTTCTGGTTAAGGGTCAAGTTAATAAAAATTACAATTAGGAATTAGAATGCCATAATAAACAAGGGGACGGATAAAACTCAAACAAAGTAGCATAATAACTAAGAAGATTGACATTGTGCAATTGGGGGGTTGGAAATGTAGAAATAACAAAATATACAGGATGTTTGGATAAAAAACTAATATGATGAATAATTGTTTATGCAATCAGGGATTAAATATGTAGAAATAGTAAAATGACAAAATAAACAAGAAGTGTGGATATGAAAATATGGTAGTGTAAACAGGGTTTAAGGAAACTTAAAATAACATGAATAAACAGGAAGTTTGGTTAAGAAAGGCGATGGGATGGTCATTACTAACGCTGATGCGTTAGCTATCCAAAAGCTAAAACTCACACTTTGTACCCAAAAGAAATACGTCCAACCCCTGTCCTTGCCATGGCCATCATAAACGGGTAAATGTTTTTTAGTAATGACCATCCCATCGCCTTTCTTATCTAAACTTCCTGTTTATTCATGTTTTTCTTAATCTCTGTCTACACTACCATATTTTCATATCCACACTTCTTGTTTATTTTGTCATTTTTCTATTTCTACATATTTATTATGCTACTTTGTTTGAGTTTTATGGTATTCTAATTCCTAATTGTAATTTTTATTAACTTGACCAGAAATTATTCTGGAACTTTCCCACCCATTTATCATAAATACACGAATGTTCAGCCTAGATGATGACTTCGTCGAAAAGATAATTTTCTTCGCTGCAACTGTCTTCTTATTCCCTATGATCAAATGTGTATATTCCGTGATTATTTGTTCAAATAATCAATCTTTTGAAATTTCGAATGTGCATCTTTAATCAATCAAAAGAAGTTTGTTCAGTCATTAAAGCTACAATGGACCTGATCTACCTTAACACCAAGTGGGTGATTTTCCTTTTTGTTTCTTAATTGTATTATTTTCTCCCCCTCCTCACCCGTATTAAATTTCTACCCCTTATTACCACAGTTGTTAACTTTCGTTCAAATCTTAGTTGAATTCTACTCAACCCTGTCAATTATATTACATCACTCACTCACTATACTTATTTAATTTTATTCTAGTTTCTAACCGATTAACGCTTTCTACGTTACTTAATTTGTTATCTCAAAAGATTTTCAATTCTAATGACACACCTTTGGAAATATTCCTTTTGTTGCTAAGATAATTTACTATGTATATATGCGATTGTACAGCTTGAGAATGATATCACCGTAAACGGTAACTCTTTGCTGAATGCCTTTTCTATTGTATGTAGTTGTGAAGTTGCATCGACTGAGATGGCTAGGAAAAACGTCACACATGCCAAGCCACTTTTTCCCTCGCTTAGCAATACTAGCTGGTTTAAGATTAGTTCGAAGTAGAGTTAAGGATGATCACATCAGAACTCGACATCAATTCATATAGTCGTGGTGAAAGCTGGCTGCGAACAAGCCAAAATTGTAAACAACAATTTACGTCTGGAATCAGGGTCATGAGAAAAACAATAACAAAGATTAACCATGAGGAACTCAACAACTAATCACAGCAGACTTAACGTGTCCAAATGCGATTCTCAGATATACGGCTTAACTTCCCGAGAAACGGTTACAAGCAGTAGAGAATATCCTTCTGTAAGAAAACAACCAATCAGACGACGTTTCTTCTTCGCTGACAATAATGTACATAAAAATATATAAATATCACTTGATTTCCTCAATAAACGTTCTGTTGCCTGGCTCCTGTCTTTCGTTGTTACAATTCTTTGACAATTGGCTTGAGGCATCCAGGGAGGTGTAGTTTACCTGGCTGACATACATCCCCGAGAAACTAAGAACTAATGACTGAAGACAGATGATGATATGGCTAAGAATTATTCTCTGTGGCGCCGATACATTCACTCCTAGTGATATTTTCCAAATACATCAAATTCTTATTGCTCCTAACATGGTTATTCTTTTCAGTAGCAACGAGAAACTCTGGCAGGCAACAGACCAACATGCAAGAACCTATTTATTGCTCAACAAATAAACCGAAGAAGGAAATATGGAGGTACATGAGACACATGCTGAGGAGACTGTTTGCCAGGTCATTACTCGAGTGGAAACCTAAATGGAAAACGATGGGTAGGGAATCACTTAGAGAGTGACATGAAGGAGATTGTGTGGAGAGAAGGAGATGACAGTAAGAACAATAATACGGAAGAACAGTAGAGTTCTTTTGAATGTGATAAACCACAAAACGTGAATGCATCTCTGCACCAGCCAATGAGAACGACAACTTCGAGCCATGTCACCAATTATCTCCAGCCGCCATTGGTTCCATCCTACCATCTCGAGGACCCCAACCGGTCAGTCACGTAGTCTACACCTCCCTATGTGACTGACCGGTCGGCTGGCTGGCTTAAACTAACTGTTATGGACATCATTGACGGATGAAGCCGTGTTTTTGTTTGTCCGCCACTAGCTCTTTTCCAACCTCATCGATCCTATTTTGTCAGCTAACATTGCCCATTGTCGAGGAAGGTGATCGATGGCTAGGCATACATGCGTAACACATATCCTAACCATCTCAATCCATGCACCTGCTTCACAACCTCGTCGATTGATTCTCCCTCCATACTTAGCACTTGACCGAAGTCCTACCTCAATATTACTCACTCCATAATACCATCTAACACGGGAGATGGAACGCAGACATCTATGGTCAAAGACAGCTAGCTAGGCGTTTCATGTTTTCCACTTTCAAAGGCGGGAATGTCTCATTGACAGCGATAAAGGAGGAGGGAGCGAACTGCTGTGCAGTACACGTCCTCTGGTCGACAGTCGGCCGAATATGAAGTCCACGCCAGAGATAGCGTAAGTTGGCATATACCAAAAGAGCCTCGCACCCTACACTACAACATCAACTCCAACATAACTTTACTTTCAGTATATTTAATTCTTTCACCTACCTGTTCAGTATTTTCTTCTGATTTAACTTTTTTTGCCTTTGGACCTTGTTCAGCTGGTGCCGATGAAGTGGCTTTAGCAGGTCGTTTCCTATTCTCCCTTTAAAAAAAAATACGAAAATGTGGTGTTAATAGGCATTATAACAAGTTGGTCTGCACAAATTCTCTACAAACATCAGAATACTTATGCATATAATCCTACAGCTTTATCGTTCAAATGGTAGGTTAGGGTTTTAGACAACAATTAAGCAATATAGAAAGCGTTAACAGGTAGGTAGAGACTTCACACAATTTAGTGTGACGTGCAATGTCACAGACAGATTTGAGTAGTAGTAGAGGAGTTCAATTAAGACTGAAAGAGGATGAGCTTTAAGATCGATGCCATAAAAAAAGTAGAAATATAACAAATAGTGGTCGGTTTGAGGAAGGAGAAGAGAACAGTACAACTGAAAGATTAAAAACATTAGGATTGACAGAAATCGTACATCAAATAGTGTTTATATAAATTAAGCCGACTTACTTACTTTACTTTACTTCGGCTATCTCCTACGGGAGGATGAGCCGGCTTCATGAACATCTCGAACGTTTGTAAGAGAGTTCATGAAGTTTTATGGTAATTTGGTACGAGTGATGTCCCCAGAATCGCTCGGCCTTTTGTTTGAGAATGCAGCTCTAGCCTTTACACAACCAAGTGTGACCTACAAGGCAGTAGGAGTGGAGTAGGGAGTCCACTATCCATTGGCAGCCGGTGACCAGAGTTCGGTTCATACGCCTTTTTGAATGGGGCCAGACATCCAGGACATCCAACAGGCCCTTTGTCCATACATCTGCCGGTGAGCTCCAGTGAGCTTCATACGCCAGCCGTTGGAGGTTTGGAATCAGGGTTTAGTCATCTCCCCTAGACTGTCATCCAATGGACAGTCAACCCGGTGAAGAGCGCCAGGCATCCGCTTTCGCCCTCTCACTTTGGTGAAAAACACCTCCGCCACGTGAAGGTAGTGACTAGGACTTCCTCAGGAAAGGCTATGTAAGACGCCCGGTCATATGGGAGCATTTGAAGAGGTGTGAGGAGGGGTGGCCAACCCGCAGCGCAAGGCACCCACCCCCGACCATCCTGGGGCTTTGGAGGTTGAGTAGAGTGTGACAGAACTATCTTCCTTCTCTTCTGTATACAAAGTTCTGGACTTAATATGTGGATTGTGGCGCATCCCCTCTGCCTTATTTGAACAAATTTGATTCGTACTCTTTCTCCTTCTCCTCTTCTTTTGGCATGATTTCCTCATACTCTGGAGAGGTGACTGTGAAGTTGGTCTGCAGATTTCTTCCGTGGATCAAGTGTTCCGGAAAAGAGCTGTAGGAAATTTTTTTCCCTATTACATAAAGCTATGAAGCTAAATGTCTCATCACATATATTTGGATAGTAAACACTGAATATTTTTGATTGGACACTAGTCAGTAACTAGTGTAATGTGTCTAGTCCTATCATCGGTGCAGACTGAATTCTATCAGTCAGGTTTGCAATGTGGCCACCATAACACTAGGTGGCTCGCCATCACGGTGCACTGTGAATTGTTGGTATTAGGTGGTTGGAGGCAATCGGCAGGAGATAAGTGGTGAGTCTGAATAGCTCAGTGGTAAAGTCTCTGACTGCAGCACTGGGTGGCGCAAGTTCGAATCTCAGAAGGGACACGAGATCCTTTAAGGTTGCAGATACGCCTTTCTGACTAGTGAGTGCCAACTTAGCACGAAACCTAGGTCAGTCAGTCAGTCGAGGCTTCCTGCCGATTGCTTCCCACCATTTATTATCAGAAAAAGGCACAAACAGCGAAGAAAATTTTCTTTTCGACGATGCATTTTCATGAGCTGCTGTACATTCGTAATTATATTAAACAAAGAAATCTTTAGACCAATCAGATACTGGTAAACTTTGTCCTTGAAAAAACTGTATTACATAATATAAGGTGTAAGGAGGGATGACTAATTGTAAGTTAGAAAAGAGACAGAAGTTGACATGACCTAATATGTGTAAGATAATGAATAATCAATAAGCTCGTGTAAAACGGACAGGAACTAGTGGAAAGGCTATAAAGTGTTTTTGTATAAAATATGTATGAAAAGCAATGTTATTAATAAACAGTATTGGAGTGGTGGCCACTTCAATGTGTATTTATCAATTTACTTGCTATTATGGAGCAAGGTATATCGGCTGTACGCAACGTCAAGTCCACAAACGTATTCTGGAACACTGCCCAGCTTGGTTATCCAGAGGAGAAAAGAAGAATAGCAACAGCTCGATCCTCGAACACCTTGTCATCTCTGGACATCGAGCGCCCCCACATGAATGCTTCACAGTGTTACACAGAGTCCCTCAATATCGTACAAAAGGACTTCGGATACGCCATCTGTACACAGCTGAAGCATTAGCTATCCGAGATCTGAAACCGGACCTCTGCATCCAAAAGCGATACATGCATTCTCTTGCCCTACCATAGCCAGAGTAAATTTCTTACCACAATTTTGCTTCTTTCCTTTATTATGTAAGCTCACTATTATTATTTTATTTTATTAATACTTTTATTATCACTATTATTCCCATAATCCACATTTTATTACCACTCCACTACTGTTTATTAATGACACTGCTTTTCATAGATATTTTAAACAAAAACACTTTATAGCCTTTCCACTAATTCCTGTCCAATTTACACGAGCTTATTGATTATTCATTATCTCACACTTATTACGTCATGCCAACTTCTGTCTCCTTTCTAACTTACAATTAGTCACCCCTTCTTACACCTTACATTATGTAATACAATTTTCCAAGGACAAAATTTACCAGTATCTGATTGGTCTACAGATTTCTTTGTTAAATATAATTACGAATGTACAGCAGCTCATGAAAATGCATCGTCGAAAAGAAGATTTTCTTCGCTGCTTGTGCCTTTTTCTTATGACTCAATATGGGAATATTTCGTTCATTTATTATCAGCAAATTAAAGTGCACCGTGGTAGCGAGCGACCTAGTGACATGGTGGCGCCACATTGAAAATGTAACTGACAGAATTCATTCTGCATCAAACAAAGGATTAGACATGAGTTCCTTCGACGTTGCAGATACGCCTTGCTGATGGGTGCCAACTTAGCACGAAACCTAGGTCCAAGACTTCCTGCAGATTGCCTCCAACTATCTAATACCAACAGAGATATGAGCAAATGTGTTTGCTGCAGATTGCATATGTGAATATTAGTTAACAATACTTTTTCTTGATTGCTGTCAACAACAGGAGTAAAACACCCATGTTACTGATAAATAGTGTTAAAGACGTTTTTGAATTTATTGCTAACGTGAATGATATCTATGTAAATGGGAAGCAAATGCTATCCTTATATGTAGCATTATTGTTTACCAATGTACCACTTATGGAGACTGTGGAATTCATATGCCAACAGATACTAGAAAAGCAGATTGACATCGGAATTCCAGTTATTAGTCTGAAAGAGTTGCTTTTAAGATGTACTTTGAATGTACATTTCATATTCAACAACCTTTACTACAGGCAAATCGACGGTATTGCTATGGGTTCTCCATTGGGGCCAATTTTGGCAGATTTCTTTCTAGCCAAGATTGAAAATGGTCCATTGAGACAAATAATAGAGAAAACCGATTCTTATTTTCGTTATGTTGATGATACGTTCATTATTCTTGATGTGAAAACTGACAAGAATGAAATGTTAAAAAAGTTTAATGATGCACATCCATCGCTCATCTTCACTTGTGAAGAAGAACATTACATTTCCTTGACGTCCAATTGAGCAGAAGAGAGGATGGTTCACTCAAGAGAGACGTCTATAGAAAACCTACATCTGTAAGACAATATACGCATTTCCTCAGTTTTGTGCCACTCTGATATAAAATCAATTTGGTCAGATGCCTTACGAATAGAGCAAGACGTATTTGTACAGATGACTCCCTAGAAAATGAGCTAGGATATATCCAGAATACGCTGGTCCAAATGGGTTATCCTAGTAGATTTGTTAGGAGACACATGAATACCAGCCACAACAAAGAAAAACTGACAACAGTTAAAAAGAAAGAACTGTTCATGAAACTTCAATTTAATGGGTATGTAGCTAGTGAAGTCTTACATCTGAGATTATCGAGAGCGATAAAACGGACTTATACTGCCGCCACCCTTTGTTTGTCATTTTCCAGCCGACCAATTTTGATTGCTCAAGTGAAAGATAAGCTACCTAGTTGTGCCACTTCGATGTGTATCTACAAATTTAGTTGCTCCTGTGGAGAAAGCTATATAGGGCGAACAACTAGACAGCTCGACAAACGCATTAATGAGCATCTTCCTTCATGGTTCGGAAAAGGTCAAATAAAATCCATACGAAGTTCTATTTTGGCTCATTTGATTGATAGTGGTCACCAAGTGGACAGTAGAAGTGCCTTCAAAGTTATCTATCGCATTCCATCTAGCCTTTCGAACGGAATTCGAATCTGTCTGTTACACATAGACGAAGCTATGGGAATTAATTCGAGAGAACAATACTAGTCTTTGCGTACGAAAGAAGTTTGTTCTGCCTTTGTCTCTCCCTAGGTGAATTGTATTCAAAACCCTCCCACCCTTTCTTATTTTCCATCTCCTTCGTACTTTTATAATATTTATTTAAACTCTGATTATCGTTCCACTTCACCTTTTAACATTTGACCTAATTTATTTATACACTTATATACATATACTATCTTTGTTATTCTTATCACCTGCATAAACCTTATTATCAATATTTTGTTATCATTATAATCATCGGTATTAATTTCGTTCAAAACATTTACCACATTATTATTAATTGATTCCCAAAATCACCGTCATTGATCAAAATTTTATATATAAATCTATGTAAATTAGAGTAAAGCCTGAAGATCTAATCGAAAACAATATTGTCCGCTTATATGTCTTGTACTGATAAATAATTAAATAATAAATGTGGGACAAACATTTTAGAAAAAGAAAGAATGTAAAGGAGTAAAATGCATACTTTGAGATTTCAGCATGTGAAAGTATAATAGCATCTCGATCGATAGAAGACAATTTTCGAAAGCCTGTAAGCCTGAAAAAGACAATGTGAAAAACAAATTCTGAGCATTATATGAATTCCTATAGAGCAAACAATAACACCGCACACCCTACTACGCTTTTATTAAATACAAATAATCTAAGCATTGCCGAGAAGGTTATTGGTCAAAATCATCATCTCTGCCTGACCTACTCTCTATATATATATGCTAATAAACTTCGTCAATAGCTCCAGCGGGTTGATCGCTGAGGAAATCTCAGCACAGACAGAGAAGGCTCGTTTGGTGTTTGCTAACTCACGCCATATCTGGTTTAAACGTGATATCCGGCCGGCTGTCTGTCGATCAGACGACGTGTGTACTGCACAGCAGTTCGCTCCCTCCTCCTTTATCCCTGTGAGTGAGACATTGCTGTCATTGAAAGTGGAAGACATGAAACGCCTAGCTGACTGTCTTTGATCATAGGTGTCTGCGTGTTCCATCTCCTGTGCTAGGTGGTATTGTAGGGTGAGTAATATTGAGGTAAGAATTCGGTCGAGTGGAAGGTAAGGAGGGAAAATCAATGGACGAGGTTGTGAAGCAGGTGCATCGATTGAGATGGTTAGGACATGTGTTACGCACGTATTTCTAGCTATCGATCACCTTCCTCGACAATGGGCAATGTTAGCTGCCAACATAGGGTCAGGTTGGAAAAGAGCTGGTGGTGGACAAACCAAAACATGGCTTTGTCAGTCAGTGATGTCTAAAACAGTTAGTTTAAGCCAGCCAATCACGTAGGAAGATGTAGACTACGTGGCTGACTGGTCGTGGTCCTCGAGATGGTAGGATGGAACCAATGAAGGCTGTAGACAATTGGTGACATGACTGGAAATGATAGTTCTCATTGGCTGGTGTACAGATGCATTCACTTTTTGTGATTTATTACATTCAATAAAACTCTTTTGTTCTTCCGTATTAATATCCTTTTTTCCTCACTCACACTTCTGTTTATTATCTGTGTTTTGTAGCTCTCTTTCCTCTCTTACTTTGCTTTTTGTGTTAAATGGAGGGAGAGTGGCAGCTGTTACTGCTGCCCATGTGTGCAAAGTTCTACGTTGGAGCCAGTCAGTCAATATATTTAGTACACAGGATAGATGAAACTAAAAGAACTACAGAAACTTACACTGAAGCTTAATAGAGTGTGCAAGACGCATAATTTCCACAATGAATCCACCATCAGATTACAAGGAATACTGTATCATAATGTGAACTACACATTTGTCAACCTCTAATAAATCGTGAGTACAATCAAGCTACTTCAAGCCAACTGGGAAGACTGCATTACCGGACGGAATTCCTCCTGAAGCACTGAAAACATACCTCAGCATACCACAGTGGATATGCTGACGCCACTGTGGCAAAGACTTTGGAAGGAAGGAAAGGTACCTACTGATTGGATGAAAGGCTACCTTATGAAACTACCAAAGAACAGTGAATTACGCCTCTGCAAGAAATGGTGAGGAATCACACTCTTGTCCACAACAAGTAAAATTCTGAGTCACATCATCCCGGTGAGAATGAAACATGGCCAATACGAGTTGAAGACATGAAAAGGTTGACTGTTTTTGATCATAGATGTCTACGATCTCTTTCTCACATTAGAAGGTGGTATAATAAGGCAAGTAATGTTGACGTTAGGCGTAGTGTTGGGCAAAGAGGGAAAATCAATCGAAGAGACTATAAAGTTACATAGATTGAGATGGCTAGGTCACATGCTGCGCATTCCTAACCATCGCCTCCCCCTTCCGACGGGCATTACTAGCTGATACAGGTGCAGGTTGGAAAAGAGTAAGTGGTGGCCAAACAAAAACATGGCCTCATCAATCCATGAAATCGTTGACAGTTAAACTGAGTCAGATAGGGAGATGCAGACTTCCAGGTTGGGGCCCGCCCTCGGGACTCTAAGAAGCAATGGCTGGAGACAGACACTAGGTGACATGGCTCCAAATCGTTGTCAATGGCTTACGCAGATGTATTCAGTCTCTGTAATCTTTCATATTCCTTTCTACCATTACTCATTCTCTTTCACTCTTATACTTGTCAAAACTCTATTGATTCTGTTCACTCATTTTCTTGTCTACCTTTGTGTGCTCTTTGGAACGTGGCAACTTGAACTGCTGCACTTTGGTGCCAAGTTCTATGTTGAATCCAGCCAGCCAGCCAGCCATTGCATTGGATGCAAGACTCCACCCACAACAAACTGGATTCAGAAAAGGTAAATCATATTCAGATCAAACTGCAGTGCCAAGACGTATCATCATTGAACGGAGCATAAAATGGTAGTCAAATCTATAATACCTTAACTACACCGACTTTGAAAGGCCTTCGACAGTGTTGACCGAGAAGTAATTTAGCAACTATTGCAACACTGTGAAGTAACTCAAGTCTTTTTCAACCTCATTCAACAGCCAAATGACAATGCCACGTGGCAATTGGTTCAAGACGAAAAACTCAGAGTAGCCTTTGAAATCAATACGGGAGTAAGACAAGGCTGCCTACTATTACCGATGATATTTCTAATCGTGGTGGAATGCATTATGCTTTAGACTGTGAATGGAAAGTGAGAAGACAGGAATACGTTGGCCCGATAAGAAGACTCTACAAGTTATGGACTTCGAGGACGATTTATATCTCATGTCACACAAACTGGAAGACTTACAGGCGAAAATCAGCAAGTTTGAAGAAGAGGAAGGCAGAGAAGACACAGGTGATGAAGATAACCAGCTACAACAACAATAACAACAACCAGTCAGCATCAACGGGAGAAATCTGAAATCTAGACAGCATCCTTCCAGCTACAGTCAGTCGCGGCACGGATAAGGATGTCGAAACGGGAATCGAAAAAGCACAACACACCTTCATCACTCTGAAATCAGTTTGGAAATCTTCCGCGCTCAGACAGAATAAAATTCGAAGTTTCAACACCAATGTTAGGACAGTTCTTCTACATGGCTCAGAGACTTTGAGCGTCACAAGAAGCATTTCGAACAGGCTTCAGACTCTTATCAACTACTACCTACCTTCGCTCTCTACTGAAGACCAGGCGGCCCAAAAGAATTAGCAACAAGAAACTCTGGGAATAAACCAGCGGCGAACCTATCGCTCAACAAATACGTAGAAGGAAGT